GCAGTGCTATACATACGGTATATATATATATATATATATATATATATATATATATATATATATATATATATATATATATATATATATATATATATATATATATATATATATATATATATCTTCAGATTTGTCCTTATAGACAATAAGGTTGTTACTGACTTGAATCTGTCGGGTGAGTTAAGGATTAGGGTGATGGCAGGGAGATCTCTCCACCTCAAACACAGAAGGGTTGTTATAAATCAGGTCAGATGCTTAAAATAGTCCTTAGAAAGAGAATGTTTTATTTAAAGAGCAAGATGAAATAAAATTTCAACTAAAAAAACCACTTTCATTAAAACCACAGTGAACCCTTAATAAACGCCGCATTAGCCTTAGACAACACTATTTGTTGAGAAACATCATGTCATGATTGTCAGGACAGATCAAACACAGGTAAGGAAAAATGATACGTTGTCATGTTCATATCTGATGATTCAGAGATTAAACATTAGATTTACAATCCTTGTCAAAAACAAACAAAAAAAAGCGTCCCAGGAGTAACACAGATTGCAACAGACTGCTATACTTTGAATGCAACTTCAAACAAGCAGCATGTTGTTTGACTCCACAATCTATCTTCTTTTTAGAACACTAACGTAGATTTTGGTTAGATTAACTAAAAAGGAGAACCCAAAGACTGACAGCAGCGCACAGACTTTCACAAAATAACTTTAGAGAATACCTTATGCTCATGCACTTATATTTTTCTCCCTGTCTGAATCTATGCAATCCATTATTAACATGTTCCCTGTCAGACAAAGACACAGGTGGGTGATGAAAAATAGAAAAATAAAGACAAAGACAGAGAGAGGGTTAAATTATTGAATTTCGGATGTTCTCTTTGAAATAAAAAGTCAGATGGAGAAAAGAAGGATCTATTGTTTTGGTGAGTGACAAAAAAAATCGAAGGTGAAAGTAGGGTAGAAAAAGACGGCAAGGTGAGGGAGAAGAAGGAGTGGCATCAAAGAAAGAAAGTTAACCAAAGTCAGCAACACGCTAGAGTCGACTCGTGCGACATTGGAGAGAAGACAGAGCTCACATCAGAGTGCATCACACCCCCGCCATCTAAACTATTCTCAGAGAGACAGACACATGAAGAGGAAGCAAGTACAAAGGTGAACCCGATGAAGGAGAGGAGGGAAGGAAGGAAGATATAGAAAGGAGTAAGGAAACAAAGAAAGAAAAAATTGATTAAATGTTATATATTTAGACATACAGTAAATGGGAAGGTGTTTTTTTTTTTTCTGAAGCACTAAAGTTATGATATGTTCAGAACATGTTGGAGTGGTGAATAAAGAATGTGAAAGGGGAAGATTTTCTTTGTCCCTGCAGTAGGACAGCAGAGACACATCGTCTCAGGGTCCATTCCCACCGGGCCTGTTACTCCAACTAAGTTTGGTTGTGAATGTGCCGCCAAACTCTAATGTGGACCAAAAAAGCAAACCTAAGACTGTATTTGGTTGATGCAAACTATCTGGTGCAGTTTGAATGCATATGTGAACACCAAACAGACCAAACAGATAACAGGGCATTCTGGATAAATGCAACCAAATCAAACTCGCAGGTCCAGCGCTGGCATGAGAAATGGAAAGCGATCTTTCACCAAAGACAGGAGAAAAATTCTCCAACCAATTTTAACTTTATGAAGACAGAAGTTGTGGTAAGTGTCTTAGGATGTTTTTTTGTGCTGAAACATTTATAAACTACATGCAAGTTCTGAAAATGAAAAAAATATCTAAAACCATGTTATTTATCTCTTTATTTTAACTGCATTTATTTCTGCATTATATACATTTAAGACCATAATTATTCATATTCCTTAAATAATTAGGTTTAAGGTTTAAAGTTATATATTTATTAATGATTTGCAGTGGCCCAGTCAGAATGCTGACATTAATCTAGACAGAGAATAAATTCTGAAACATTTCCTGTCATGATAATAGTTTTGGTTTATTATTTTCATAATAAATTTCAGTTACTGAAGGTAAATTAAAGAAAAACCCACAGAGCCATATGACCGGAAATGTTATTCTTGCCATTAGTTTCATGAGAGCACCATAAGATGTCAGTAAATCCTGAAATATGACTAAGTGCAGATTAGTGATATGACTTTCATTAACTAGGAATGTTTTTCTAGAACAGTGGCATCCTTCACTGGGAATGTTTTTCAAACCCAATAATTGTGTTTATGGTTATCACATCCATACAGTTACCTAAAGATATGTAATAAACAGTTGTTTTGTTTTAATTATAAGCTTTGTTTTCATCACAATAGTTCCATAAAATATTGTATTAAGTTTATATCAATCACACCAAACTGTTTGTCTCTGTATGTATGAATCTCTGCTTATTTTTACAAAAGAACAAGACTCCATATAACAGCTCACCACCACAGGGTGAGATGTACAAATAAACAAATAAAAACACACACAATCAAAGTAAATGCAGAGTCCTAAAGACACATAAATGCTCACATATACATCTAAGCAGGACAGACAGATGGAGAGGACATCTTGGGCCACCCAGCTGCTCCATCATTTATCTCAATTTCACCTTGTATACGTGAGCGCTCAAACATACACAAGCTCATGGCATTAGTGTCACACTAACCAAGAGCAAGACAGACATAAACACAGCAGACAAACTCACACACATGCATACATACACACACCTGAGCAGGGCCTCGTTTCAGACAGGAGGATAAGTGAAATTCTTGAGTAAGTTCTGGGTTAACTATGTGCATATTCTTGGTTTCCGTTCCAGGAAGCCAGATATCAGTGAAACAGGTGATGTAGTCACTACCACATTTTGACACTTCAGGCATAATCTCTTGATTTATTTTTGGGTGTCCTAAGTACAGTAGTTTCAGCTATTTGGGTCAGACAAATAAAATTATCCTTCTTTTGAACATTAAATATTTGTAGCATCAAGAATATTCCTAATTCTTGATGCTACAAATCACTTTCACACATCCATTGCCTGCCATGTTAATGCTTGCAATGTATTGACATATTTAGCAATACTTTTGCTAAATATGTCAAAACATATTAAATATGTTAAATATTCTTCTATATTCTGCTTATGTTCTTGTTACATTTCTAATTCCACTGGACAGAAATTCACACTTCCAGGCTTCTTTTTACTCCTGTTGCCATGCTGAATCGCATTATCTGCACTCCATTGATGAGGGCGTCTCTAGTGTATACTCATGCTCAGGCTTAACTCCGGTAACTTGACTCAGAGTTGAGTTACCTAATTAATATCTCCTGTTCTGAAATGAAAGACTCTGAGTATCATTAAGCCGGGTCAGTTTATTCAGAGTAACTGCCGACGACTCAAAGCTTATTAAACCTGCTTTCTGAAAAGGGGGCATGAGTAATATTTTGTAGTTTTATTTTTATCTTTTGTTGGTGAGTCATGACTCATGCCAGTGATTTAGGCATTAATTTACCTGACTGGCAAATTTGTAGAGCCTGGAGTTTGTTCAGGCACTACACTGTTTATCTGTGCAATTCCTGCTCCAGTGTGACTTTCACATCCTTAAGTTTACTAAAGTAGGAGCTAAAGTTCATCTCTCAGCCACATTTTGTCACAAATCCCCTTTATTGCCTACTACTGTAATTTAACATGGACACAAAAACTAAATATTTCATACAATGCACCAAGCATGAGTTCACTTCCTAGGGTCAAATCAATTTTTTTTCCAGCTTTGTGCTTTTACAAACACAGCAAAAGTGAGGATGATGGTCTGCAGAGGGATGACAGATTTCTGCAATCAGTACAGAACACCAGTACATATTTAGAAACACGTTTTCATGTAAATATGTAGACCTTAAAAAAATACACATACCTAGGCATACACACAGTAACTGCATTTAATTATATTTCCAAACTGACTGATACTTATTGATGTTCTCGTGGGACAAACAATGGAGAAAATAGCAGAAATAACATTTCCGATCAATCCGTCAGTTTTGTTTTTATTTACCCTCAATAACTAAAATTTATTATAAAAATGTCCAAATAAATATTATAATAAATGTTCATACTTACTTGTCAGTTGCTCTATAGTAAAAAGCGGAACAAAAGATAATATTCTCACACATAAAGAAATATTTTACTAAATTGAGCTGGTTTTATTCCATATTTTCCTTTATTCTTTCACCACTGTGTTCATATGTTAAGATAAATTCTGAAAACCATTTTATTTTACACAGACTCTAAATTGAGACTAGTATAAATTCAGATTGTTACCAAGGAAGATTTGAATTCTTGACTTTTTTAACTGCACTATCTTTAATAAAAACATGTTGGTGAATCATTTTAATGAGTGCATAAAACCGCTGATTTTGAACTCATTGACTGACTGTTTAAGGCTTTGTTTAATCCAATATATCAATTTGTTATTTGATCAAAAAAGAAAAAAAAAACTCTGGTCTTCTTCTATTTTTATCACTATGCAACTATAAATTAAATCCTTTAAGGTCTGAATATTTGTAAAATGTGAGCATTAATGTTTTCAGGACAATTATTGTTGTCCATTTATTGACTACTATTAGGTCAATATTAGTAAGAGACAATAAAATCTTAACTCTAAGCCAAGCAAAGGTGTTGGATTTTAAATTTGTGACTAAACCAAAGCATTTAATGGACAACTTTAAATGGATAAGTTGACTTTGGGTTTTCATAAAAACACAGCATTTTTCTCGAACACATTCATGTTACAGAGGACTTTTTAAAACTAATCATGCAACCAACTCTATAAATATTTTCAACCAATGACGGTTCTTGGTGAATATCATCAAAAATGCTGACGCCCCAAAAGACAGAGACTCAAACTAAGCAGAAAACAACCTAATCCCAATTATCATTCATCATTTGCTCTTGATAGATGCATAACACAAACAGAATATCTACCAATGCTAATTCTACAGCTACTGAGGAGCTGACGCCAACGTTACCATGGTGAGGAGGTATGCTGCTGGCCGGCCAGGTGAAGGGTCTTGGGCCGGGCGTTCGAGCAGCTGCCTGCATTAGATGGCCGCTCCCAGTAGGGGTCACTGTGAAACACACACAAAGATAAAGCGTGGAAAAGTTCTTAAACGACAGCCTTAGGACACAGAACCAGGAAAAGTAGAGAGAGTGAGGGGAAAATAAACAGGACAAAATATCAGCACCATTGTAAAAGGGGAAAAGGAGAATAGATATTAAGAATGCATGTATTAATGTAATACAAAGTGAATTTCAAGTACCAAAGTATTTTTTAAACAGTATTAACAATTTGATATTATAACATCAAAAAATAATTTAAAAATGGGCATTTTTAGCTCAATGGAATGGAAAATCCAGCAAATATAGACACATTATCTATTATGAAAAATAAACTCTCCAGCTACAAAATAATGCTGTAAATTTCCTGTTCAAAGAAATGTTTTATCAAAAAATAATATGTCTCTGTGATAATTTATGGAAGATCTTTGTTTTATCCTAACGTACATCACTCTTATTTTTTTGTTGTGTTTTAACAATTGTTTTGCCAAATAAAATGGCCTTTATTTGACACTAATCTAACAGGGGCAGAGAAAAGGGGGAAATGCATGCAGCCAGGATCTGACAGGACTCAAGCTTAAAGCCCTGGTTGGTGTAGCAGCCGCTCAAACCTCAGTGTTGCCTCTGAGCCACCGGTCTAACTCCTCGTTCATCTTTTCTCTCACATTTGCGACTCTGCAATTATGAACTTTGTACAAAACTGGGGTTAACCGTGTAAACTAGGTAACGAGTTAGCAAGAGAGAGGCTTTTAGGTGAAAATGAGAAAATCTGCATTATGCAATACTGAGGCATTAGATTAATTGCATTGTTTTATATTGGAGTTTGTTGTTTTGTGACTGTTCTTTGATTTACAGTGATGAAAACCAGAATGAAATTCCTTGTTTATTCCTGCAAACTTGGTAAATAAAGTTGATTCTGATTCAGATATATCGGCACAGAATTTCAGTTAAAAAAAAAACAAAAACATCCATTGGTCGACTAAACAGCTCAAGGTTTGTAAAATATTCAGGAATAAACAGATACAACTCCAGTTTAGCTGCTTTATTTCTCCATTTATATATTTATAGCAAAGCTAAATGGTACTGGCTGGGATTTGACAGGAAGGCGAAACGACACAGTCAAACACAAAACACAAAGCCGCCCCAGAGTCTATGCACAGAGAATTATTCAAATTTTACACACCCACCAAAGACAGGCTGTCAAAACCCATGTTGATGTGGATTTTTCATACTGAAAAAAGGAGCACAGGAGAAGTTAGAAAAATAAAAGAGAGAAGAGAAAAAAAACTACGAAACAGAGGCAGAGCAAGAGAGGCTGGAGAGTGAGAGGAAAGAAAAAAGGAGAAACAGAGAAGCAGTGCCGGCTTCCAGGAGAACATTAGCTGAACTGTGTAGCGCACCATGAAACCATTGATAATGTCGTTCTTGTTTTGTGGACATGTATTACTGTAAAACTGTTTTCTGAGGCGAGCTGCCCACTATTGTTCCTGTCAGAGGTTGGAGTGAGGGCATAACCTGTTTCAGTTTACAGCAACAGCAGAACACAAAGAGCTGCTTTCCAGATTAAATGACCCAGATAAAGTCTAGAAATTGGATTGCTTTTTGATTTGATGCATGTTTAGGGAACATATCTGATAAAAATGAATGTTTTTAAAAGCAGTAAAAATAAGATAAGTGTGGCTATTTGGAAAAAGGATTCTTGATCATGACAATGGTTAATCCGTGGAGGAGCAGCAGGAATTATTTGAATCAATAGTACATGACTGGCAGATTCCGTTGCTTACTTTCCTAGGTACATTAAAACGATATATTTTTTTATTCTTAACACATAAATGTATCAATTTAAATTAAACAGACATGGGGAACTTAACTCAGTATTCCCACATCAAACTATTTGCAGATTATCAATGTAACTCAAGTTATTGGTTGGCAATTTGCAGATTTTTTTTTTTTGTTAAGCTCTTCTAAAGAATTCTGCAAAAAATGCAGCTTGAGAAAGTGAAACAGCAAGGCACAATGCTATTTGACATTCTATTGCTTCTGTGGAAGCAGCCAATCCAGAAGCCACATTCATATTCTTTGGCACTGATTGGCTGTCCCACCAAGAGCGGAGATAAGAAACTGCAGATGTTAGCTTCTGTGGTAGAACCAACAATGTTTCCAAAATGTGTTTTAATGCATATTAAGGCATATTTTGTGTCTGAACTATACATTATGTAGTTATAGGCATTTTTAGAAACGGTTTTAAGTATTCATAAACTTCAGCTTGTTGTGGGTGGTCATGGTTGCTAACCCCTTTAAATACAAAGGACCACTTTAATAAACAATAAACAAATGTCATGTTGTGGCTTAAATCGTCTTTGTGAAGACTGGTGACTTAACATCTCTCCAGCATGCAGATGCTTACGTTTTTTTTACTGCTTTTTGCCTGGTTTTAAGAGATGAGGTCACTTGGACCCCACAAGTTTCTTAGTCTGTGCTCAGTCCGGCCGGGTCACACCTGACCCTGTGTGTGCTTTCACCAGGTGTTTTTTTATGCTTTCGGGATCCAAAGGTACATCCCCACACCCCCGCTATCCAACTTTGACATTTGCTGCACTCTTGCTCAGCGTGCGCCAAGCCAATGGAGAGTTAAAGAATGTAAGCCAGAGAAAGTCATCGCTAAAGCAGCTGGCAGTCCACACCAGTGTTGTATAGTAACGAAGTAAAAATACTTCACTACTTTATTTAAGTATATTTTGGAGTACTTCATACTTTCCTCGAGTATGAACATTTTTGATAACTTTCACTTTTACTTCACTACATTTCCAAACTTAATTGCATACTTTTACTCCGATACATTTTCAATGTGTGGTTTAGTTACTCGTTACAAAAAAACGAGAGAAACGCAAATGTTTTGATCCCACCTACTGATTGACTGCAACAAAGCCTGCTTGCCTGGGCTTGTTCATCACCACCAATAGGATGCACAGGTTTCGCTCCTCCCCACCTACGTCACAAAGTCCAGCAAACAGTCTGATTGGTCAGTGCTCCGTTTGTGTAGGTTTGTGCCGTTAAAATGTTCGTTTGTGCAGCTTTGGTTTCCGAGATATTAAAATGATTTTTTAGGCCAACCAGAGTTACCATCCCCCCATTTTGCTCCAAAGTAGGCTGGTTCGTTAGTGCTCCATTTGTGCAGGTTTGTGCCATTAAAACAAACGCAGCAAAGTTGTTTTAAATTTGGATTTTGGCTATTCCAATATCCGGTGTGAGCGGCGTCTAGCTCGAGGTTGATCTGATTCATGAACGCTAATTTGGGCCAGCCGGTCTCTGGTCTACCCCTTCCTCAAGGTGTCGGAGTTTCACTCAGGGAGAGGCAACAAATTTTACATCCAAACTCTCCTGAGAAACTAATGGAAATAGATTTCTTGCCTTGTGACCAACTGACACAAAATTCATGCAGTTACACGAGACACACTGTTTGCTAGTGAAGTTTTAGTCATACTCAATATTTTCAGTAATTGTAATCTTAAAAAGTATATATTTTGGATGGCCTAAAAAATAATTTTTAATATCTCGGAAACCAAAGCTGCACAGACGAACATTTTAACGGCACAAACGGAGCACAAACGGAGCACTGACCAATCAGACTATTTGCTGGATTATTTGAGTAGGTGGGGTGTCAGCTTCACAGAGGTCTGTTTCGCTTCTCCCATTAAACACCAAGTTAACAAAAAGCTCTCCCTCTTCAGATGCCAAATAAGCTGCATTTCCCTCCCAATTCTTTTTTTTCTTTTGCATAATGACCAGTTGTGTGCACCTATAGTTTGTGAAGTATAGGAATCGGAACGGTTTTTTTTCTTCATGTTGGCCGCATTTTGGCCACTATTTATTTTTCTCATTTTCAGCACTGACCTTACTGAAAGAAAAAACTTAAGGCTTACAAAAACTTTGTATTTTCTGTCCTGGAGGGTTTACCAAGAAGCTGGTTCAGTTGTAAAGCAGGTTAAGTTAACCTAAAGCACGTTAAGTTAACCTTGTGGTTTAGATAAAGCACCTAATGTTCTTAACTAAATGATCCTGCAGGTATGTCTATTAGCAGGTTTCATTTTGCCTGCACTTGGTTGTGTACATTATTTCAAGTGTATTTAACAAGTTTACCAAAATATAAAAAATGTCATTCAAACTGCATTTGCCTTGTTTTACTTTTTACTTGTACTTTTCATTACATTACTTGAGTATATCCATTTTCACAGTAATTTCCATACTTAAGTACAAGACGTTTCAGATACTTTAATACCTTAACTCAAGTAACATTTCAATCAGTGACTTGGACTTTTACCAAAGTCATATTATAGAGAGGTACCTATACTTTTACTTGACTCTGAGATTTCAGTACTTTATACAACACTGGTCCACACAGTCCTGCTTCTAAGTAGATCATTTAGAAAGTTGAGGATAAAGGAAAAACATAATTTACTCCAAGCCTTTATTAAGTGCAGCCATATACCAGAAAATTTTATAGCATTGCATCTTTTCCTGTATAGAAAAGCTTTGTGCAGATGGTGGTTTTGTTTTCAAGCAGGACTTGGTTCCTGCCCTCAGTCTGAAGCACCAACACATGCTTTCCACATGGAACCTCGCCTTTCCATCCACCCGATTACTGCTGTCACTCAGTCATCCAAGAGTGGCGTTGTTTTATCCTGGGGTTGAAAAACAAGATCATTGAGACAATCTCCGTACTGAAGGTCAGGGGTCATGATTTAGATATAAAATATAGACTGAGATTCATGGGCATCCGAGGCTAAAATTACTGCTGACCAAAAACCAGTCAAACACTTTTGACTGGTTGGAAAAGTGAGACCCGACTAACTTTTGAACATGGTGACAATCCCCAAGGTTTCTGCCAATAGATTCTGTGGACTGAGAAAACAAAAGTAGAACAGTTTGTGAACTATTTCTAACACCGCTTTTCATCAAAAGAGAATCATCCCGACAAACATGGTGATAGTGTGAAGGTCTTTGCTACTTT